CATAAAGCTTTACGATTGGGTTATGGTGAAAACTTGGGCATAGTTTTTGTCGATCTGGAACTCACGTAAGTGTTTCGCTTAGTTTATATCATTATTTAACTTAGAGGGAAATTTTTTTTTTGTTTACGTCAAGAATGGTGGGTTTGGTTGGGAGGTGATCGTGAAAAGAAAAAAGGCTGAGAAGGAGAGCACATTTTCATTCTCTTGTCTTGTCTTAGCTCTACTGTTGGATGTCTCAACTACTGTTGGATGGCAATGGGGCATTACTTTTGTAGATCACTGTAATTAGTGAACAAAGCAAAAAACAAAAAAAAAACTCTTTGCAGTTTAAGGACTGGATGTATTTAGCAAAAACTATGATTATAAAAGAATATTTAAACACTTTAAAAATCGATTCTGGAATTCATTTGGACGATTGCTAGAGTTAGAAAGTTCGATTTTGTAGTTAGGAAAATCAAGGCTTAGCTACGTTCAAGATTGGCGTCATAAAGCTTTACGATTGGGTTATGGTGAAAACTTGGGCATAGTTTTTCTCAATCTGGAACTCACGCAAGTGTTTCGCTTAGTTTATAGCATTATTTAACTTAGAAGGAAATTTTTTTTTAAGTTTGGGTGGGTTTGGTTGGGAGATGATCGTGAAGAAAAATGAAAAAAAAGAAAAGAAAAAGGCTGAGAAGGAGAGCACATTTTCATTCTCTTGTCTTGTCTCTTTGCTGTCTTTTTTTTCCATTCTTTGAAAAGCTTTGTGCAGTGAAGGGAGACAGAGCAGTCTTTCAGTCCTTTCATTGCAAACAAAAAAAGAAATCGTTGTGCTGGTGAAGGGAAAGGTTTTGAAGAATATTAGAAAAATCTGAAAAGCTCAGGCTCAGGTTGTTAAAGCTACGAAGAGTTAAACAAGTCATTAGCTGCTTACCAGCAACTGAGCGAACTATTATCTTAAAGCCAAAGGATTACAGCTTTGTGATATCAGAAATTGGTACTTGTCATTGATAAATCCATAAAGATTCATCTCGATGAAGTATCCCCATCCGAGTCTTCTCTATAATCACAAATCTCTTCTCTATCGTTGTGTTGGTGAGGGGAAAGCCTTGAGAAACTTTAGGGAAAGGTTGAAAAAAGCTTCAAAAATTGGAAAGCTATTGTTTTAACAATGCTACTAGGAGCTAAGCATAAGCTGCATAAGCATAAGCTGCATAAGCATAAGCTGCATAAGCTATCAGCTATCAGTTAAGCACCAGAATTGTAGCCTGTCGCTGGTTTATCAGAAACTGATTAGTTAGTTATCTCAAAGCCATGAGAAACATTAGAAATCTATCGTGAACTGTGTTAGGTCTAAGGGAGAGTAAAAAAAAAAGAAGATTCAATTGATAGATTGTGAATTCTCAGTCTAACAACTGTCTAACAATAAGAATATCAAGTACTTGTCATTGATAAATCCATAAAGACTCATCTCGATGAAGTATCCCCATCCGAGTCTTCTCGGTTATCGATTTTCGTTTGACAGATCGACTGATCACTTCAGACTTCACTGAACATAATCATCCCATAATCAATCAAAAGTTGTCAGCTTCTTGCTTCACCGAGTTGAGTCTCTGTCGATGTATAACCGACAAGTACCCAGAAATCTATCGTGAACTCATCTAGGCAGAATTTAAGAGTAAAAAGAAGACCCACTTCTTTATGGCAAAGATATTTAAGTGAGGGGAAAGTCTCAGGTAAGTCGAATTTCTATTAAAAATCTTTAAGACTAAATTGGTTAATAAGTGAAAATTCTATGATTCTTGATACTTTAATACTTTAATAACTGCTTATTCTAATCACCATTACTAATCATGAGTTAGAGTTAAGTAAAGCTTATTCTAATCATTATTACTATTACTGATCATTCAGCTAGAGTCCTGTAAAGCTTATCGAATCATCATTACTATTACTGATCATTCGTCTAGTCTAGTAAAGCTTATTCTAATGACTATTACTATTACTAATCACTTCTAGTCTAGTAAAGCTTATTCTAATCATTATTACTATTACTAATCATTCAGCTAGTCTAGTAAAGCTTATTCTAATCATTATTACCATTACCATTACCAATCATTCAGTTAGAGTCAAGTAAAGAAATCATTACGAACTTTATAAAAAAATCACTCTCTAACTTCAACGAGAGAACTGTTTTCCCTTTTTTTCAAATCGTTTTTATTTTTACTTTTCTCATTTTCACAATCAAATCGAAAACGATCGTTTTCGTTAAGTGAATGAGTGAAACGGATAGAAAAGAAAATCGACAGTGACTGACTGTCAACTTTCTTTTCCCTTTTTCCTTTGTCTGTTCCGCTTCGATTTCTCCTTTTCTTCCTTTTCTTCCTTTCTTTCTTCCTTTCTTCCTTTCTTTCTTTTCTTTCTCCCTTTCTTTCTTTTCTTTCTTTTTTTTCAATCTCATCGTCAAACATTGAACCCAAAATCGATCGAAAAGTCAAAGGAAATAATATTGATTTTCCTTAGGAAAACCTTTTGATAATCTTTGTATAAAGCCGAAATCACAAGCAAGACAAGAGCAAGAGCTTCGATTGAGTTTGGCTGAGCTGAGCTGAGCTGAGTTGAGATGAGCTGAGCTAAGCTGAGCTAAGCTAAGCTGAGCTGAGCAAGAGCTTCGATTGAGTTTGGCTGAGCTGAGCTAAGCTGAGCCAAGCTGAGCTGAGCTGAGCTGAGCTAAGCTGAGCTAAGCTGAGCTAAGCTAAGCTGAGCCAAGCTGAGCTGAGCTAGCCGTTTATACAGAATCCTTACTCTTGCCTAGATTCATATCAATTTCCAAAGATTAGCAAGGCTAATTTCTTAATTGATTTGATAGTAGGGAAAAAGGAGGGCCGTTTAAATGTCTCACAATTAACAAATAAGTTGAATGGTTGATCAGAGGGAAATACTGTATTTTCTGAAGTCCTAAAAAAGTCTAAAAACTTTTATTCTTTTATTCATTAAATTTAAGACAAAGTTAAGTTAATAAAAATTGAAATTTCATTAAAATTGACTAATAAAATGACTTTAATGACTTTGCTCTTTGATGTTCAGCTATTTTGTTGAATCTACGGTTGAAATGGGTAATAAACATTCCCAATTTATAGCCGATTACAGAAAGGGAGATGGATGAAAGAATAGGAAAATGGGGGAACAGGGAATAACGAGTTCTCCCTTCTATGCTTCCCTTCTATGCTTCTCTTTCTCCATCAACGCACACGAAATAGTGCTGCGAATGAATTTACTTTTGTGTAGATAAAGGGAATTTCAAATAACAATAATGAAAATACGAATTAGAGTTTCGCAAGAAGCTAGACTGTGTCGTAGCTTTATTGGGTTATAGCTCCGATGATTACTAAACAGTAGCCTTTGGAACGCCATAGCTTTATTGGGTTATAGCTCTAAAGATTACTAAACAGTAGCCTTTGGAACGCCAGTGCCAAGTACAGTTTAAAGAACAGGATTACTAGTTCTCCCTTCTATGCTTCCCTTCTATGCTTCTCTTTCCCCATCAACGCACACGAAATAGTGCTGCGAATGAATTTACTTTTGTATAGATAAAGGGAACTTCAAATAACAATAATAACAATACGAATTAGAGCAAAGACTTTTTAGAAAAACATCTGACAAATGCATAACTTAACTAGAAGTGTTATATAAAGAATTGCATTCTTGTTCTTGGCCTAATTCTCGGCAACTGTATCTCCAAGAGTTCCAACAAAACCAGGCTAAACGAGAAGTCAAGAGCCAAAGAAAGTGTAAGCTTTTTGGAGACTTTAGGACAATGGGATCATGCCAAAACAGGCTTTTGTCTGACTATATTCAGGACTCAGTCGAGCATTGGGTCTTGCTATGCCTAATTTTCCAGTACCGGATAATCCTGACGAGATTGAGTTTGACTGGATTGAGCTTGACTAGATAGAGCTTGAGGAGCTTGACTAGATAGAGCTTGAGGAGCTTGACTAGATGGAGCTTGAGGAGCTTGACTAGATGGAGCTTGAGGAGCTTGACTAGATGGAGCTTGAGGAGCTTGACTAGATGGAGCTTGAGGAGCTTGACTAGATGGAGCTTGAGGAGCTTGACTAGATGGAGCTTGAGGAGCTTGACTAGATGGAGCTTGAGGAGCTTGACTAGATGGAGCTTGAGGAGCTTGACTAGATGGAGCTTGACTAGATAGAGCTTGACTAGATGGAGCTTGACTAGATGGAGCTTGAGGAGCTTGACTAGATGGAGCTTGACGAGATTGTTTATCAAGTACTCGCACCGATCATTGCTATCAGGGTAGCAATGATAAACTTTTAAAATTTTAAAGTTTAGGGAATTGGGAGGTTGCTGATAAGTTTGCAATTAATGAAGCCTGGGAATAGATTTCTTTGGATTTGCGGTACTTTTCGGTTATACCCCCGGCACCTCCTCATTTCGGTAATACCTTCGCTACTCGAAAATTTAAAAAACGATACGGTTAGTGTCCCACTCCATGCATCGATGCGTGTATTTGTAATTCACAAATACACGCATTGATGCATGGAGTGGGACTAAATTCTAGCCTAGCTTGATGCCAGTTCGGTAGAGGTTTTTGACGTTAAAGACGTCTGCCTAAGTGACATTAGGCTAGGCTAAATTCACAACAGTCTGGCTGAAATTAGCCTAGCTTGATGTCGCTTGGGCAGACGTCAGTAGCCTGTAAATCAACGATCCGAGTGATAAATTTCAAAATCTTGTCAACGAGCGTCTTTTCAACGTCTTTTCAACGAGCCACGAGTGTCTATTTTTATTTTTAGCCTCTTCAACAAGGAAACATTTGTTTGAGTGGCGGGAAACTCAAATTTTCGCTACAAAATTCAGCTTGACGTTAGTTGAAGTGCTTTTGTTGCATTTGTATTCATCAATTTGCTTCAAAATTTATTTCAAAATTTAAATTGGAACTCATGTAAAATAATTAACAAAAAATTTATTGAAAAAAAACGAAATTTTCAATTTTCAATTTTTTAACCAACACATTTTTGAATTGCATTCCAATAGCCGATAGTGGCCGTTGTTTTGCAGCCGTTTGGTCCTAGAAATGTAAAAATGATTTAAAAATGGTTCTAGAAATGTAAAATGACTTTAAAATGGTCCTAGAAATGTAAAAATGATTTAAAAATGGTTCTAGAAATGTAAAATGACTTTAAAATGGTCCTAGAAATGTAAAAATGATTTAAAAATGGTTCTAGAAATGTAAAATGACTTTAAAATGGTCCTAGAAATGTAAAAAATGACTTCAAAATGGTCCTAGAAATGTAAAATGACTTCAAAATGGTCCTAGAAATGTAAAAATGACTTCAAAATGGTCCTAGAAGGGTAAAAATGACTTCAAAATGGTCCTAGAAATGTAAAATGACTTCAAAATGGTCCTAGAAGGGTAAAAATGACTTCAAAATGGTTCTAGAAATGTATTGGGTTGGGGACTATGACTCGGCGGACAAAAGAAAGGCAAATTTATTGAACATAAAACCATGAATTCATTCGAAATAATTTCCATTATTATTGACGACTTCTGCCCATTTTACAAGCAATTTGCGGTTTCCTCTTTCGTAGTAGGAGTTTGGTTTGTGTGTGAGACAAGTGTGAGACTCAAAAATGGAGGACTGGAGATGTCCCAGTTTGAGCACTTTCTTCAAAAGAAACCCATTTTGGTGTTAATGGAAAAGTTATAGAGAATCAAAAATTAGGCTTATAGCCAAATTTCCGAAAAGGTAAACTTAGTAGTTTCGCTTAAAATGCAAGTTTTGTGAAAATTTGTAAGTTTGGCATTTCTTGAAAACCAGTGTTTGAATCGTTCTGAAAATTTGGATATAAGCTTGATTTTTGATTCTCTACAACTTTTCCATTGACACCAAAATGGGTTTCTTTTGAAGAAAGTGCTCAAACTATCACATATGACATATCGTCCGCCGAGTCATAGTCCCCAACCCAATAAAATGACTTCAAAATGGTTCTAGAAATGTAAAATGACTTCAAAATGGTTCTAGAAATGTAAAATAACTTCAAAATGAAAGGATTTATTTTTTTGAAAAGAAATTATCTTATAAAATGACCTCCATTGTGTAAACGAGCCATCGTTTCGCATTGAGATTTATTTGAGCAATTCCTTTTATATCTTTTCACATATTTCTCGACACAAAGCTTCGAACAACCCTTATCACTTGCACATCTGAAAGTTATAGGCAATTATGAGCAAATTACAGGCAATTAAAAAATGAAATTCAAAAGATATTCGATTTACTCGACGTGTAAAGAGGATTACTCGTAGGTTACTCGTTGAAAACGTTGCTTAACGTATTTTCTCTAATAGTAGTGCACCCTTAAGTGCACCCTTGTCTAAATCCCTCGAAATCTCGAGAACCGCTTATCAGAACCTATCGATGTGGAATGTAGCTGTAGCTGTAGCCGACGTAGCTGTAGCTGAGGTAGCTGTAGCTGTAGCTGAGGTAGCTGTAGCTGTAGCCGACGTAGCTGTAGCTGTAGCTGTAGCTGTAGCTGTAGCTGTAGCTGTAGCTGACGTAGCTGTAGCTGTAGCCGACGTAGCTGTAGCGGTAGCTGTAGCTGTAGCTGTAGCTGACGTAGCTGTAGCTGTAGCCGACGTAGCTGTAGCCGACGTAGCTGTAGCTGTAGCTGTAGCTGTAGCTGTAGCTGACGTAGCTGTAGCTGTAGCCGACGTAGCTGTAGCCGACGTAGCTGTAGCTGTAGCCGACGTAGCTGTAGCTGACGATGAGATCTTGTCGGGGATTTGAGTGTTGAGCTTCTGGGAAAACTTTGAAAGCCGTAAATAGTGATCAACTCGGCTCGGTTGCGGTGCACGACTATTAGAGAAAATACGGTAAATCAAATACAAAACCTTAAATAACAAATAGAATCGTATACCGTCTTCTCTCTAATAGTAGTGCGCCGTGAGCGTCGCTTAAATCCCTCGAAATCTCGAGAACCGCTTATCAGAACCTATCGATGTGGGGTCGGAAAATGTAGCTGACGATGAGATCTAGTAAAGGATTTGAGGGTTGAGCTTCTGCAAAAGCTTTGGAACCGTAAAATAGTCATCAACTCGGCTCGATCACTACTATTAGAGAGAAGATTTTCAAAGGGAAATACCGTATTTTCTCTAATAGTAGTGCACCCTAAGCTTTGCCTAAATTCCTCGAAATCTCGGGAACCGCTTATCAGAACCTATTGATTTGAGATTGGAAAATATAGCTGGCGATGAGATCTAGTGGGGTATTCAAGTGTTGAGCTTCTGCAAAAGCTTCGAAACCGTCAAATAATCATCAAATCGGTCCACTGCCATTAGAGAGAAAACGGTAATCGACAAATTGAGCATTTAGATCTTTGAATGCCTTTCTAAAACTGTAAACACAAATGATCTGGCGTGCACACTAATCGGATTCTTTTTGAGAGCTATCATCCAATCCATTCCCAATGACTCACCTTTTCCAAGCTGTATCAATCGATTCACCGGCTTTCTTCCCTGGTTGACCGCAATCAATGTAATAAGGTTTCTTGATCTGAAAAAGAGCTTTAAATGCTTTAAAAGCTTTAGAAGTCTCATCTAGAATCTCATCTAGAATCTGATCTAGAATCTGATCTAGAATCTCATCTAGAATCTGATCTAGAATCTCATCTAGAATCTCATCTAGAATCTGATCTAGAATCTCATCTAGAATCTGATCTAGAATCTGATCTAGAATCTGATCTAGAATCTGATCTAGAATCTCATCTAGAATCTGATCTAGAATCTCATCTAGAATCTCATCTAGAATCTGATCTAGAATCTGATCTAGAATCTCATCTAGAATCTCATCTAGAATCTGATCTAGAATCTGATCTAGAATCTGATCTAGAATCTCATCTAGAATCTCATCTAGAATCTCATCTAGAATCTCATCTAGAATCTCATCTAGAATCTCATCTAGAATCTGATCTAGAATCTCATCTAGAATCTGATCTAGAATCTGATCTAGAATCTGATCTAGAATCTCATCTAGAATCTCATCTAGAATCTCATCTAGAATCTCATCTAGAATCTCATCTAGAATCTCATCTAGAATCTCATCTAGAATCTCATCTAGAATCTCATCTAGAATCTCATCTAGAATCTCATCTAGAATCTCATCTAGAATCTCATCTAGAATCTCATCTAGAATCTCATCTAGAATCTCATCTAGAAAACTGAACCTGAAAATATCCGCACGATAACGAGCCACCATCATCAGCACAACCAAGTTTCCGACAACCGGATTCTCGTTGACAAATGCAATCAATACATGATTTTGCAAAAATCGTCACCACTAAAGAAGCTGTTAGCTAGTTTTAGCTAGTGTTTTTGAAACTCTTCCTAGACTCAGAACCTTTGAACTCTTCTTATTAATCCCTAGTTTTGTTTCAAAGACTGTAATCCTTGATTTCTCTTTGATGAATCCTTTATTTTAATTCTGTTTCGATATCCTTTATTCCAGGATATCGAAAGAAATAAAAAAGTAAATAGATTTGATAAAATAAAAAAAAGATTACGGAGATCTTCCTAACTTAGAAAGTTCAAAAGTCGGCTCTTTTCCAGTTTCCCGAGTCGTTTGAATGAGCTGAGGGGGTGGGACAAATGCGCACCTTTTTTTTGCGCACCTGGGCGTTTGCGCACCTTTTTTTTGCTGGAAAAGGCCTTAGGAAAGGTCCTAGAGCTTCAAAAATGTTTTCATATAAGGGAATCGTATGCGTAGATTCCGAATTTCGACAAATCACACCTTGCTGACACGTCAAATTTGGGCTAAAAGGCAAAAATTACGCAACTTAACGCTTTTCCGCTTTCTTTTCCTTCCGCAGTCCAAATTTGACGTGTCAGCGAGGTGGGATTTGTCGAAATTCGGAATCTACGCATACGATTCCCTAATCTGGAAATATTTTCGAAGCTCTACGACCTTTCCTAGGGCTCTACGACCTTTCCTAGGGCTCTACGACCTTTCCTAGGGCCAAAAAAAGGTGCGCAAATGTCCAGGTGCGCAAAAAAAAGGTGCGCATTTGTCTCACCCCCAATAGATTTGATAAAATAAAGAAAAGATTACGGAGATTTCGAGAAGAAAAGGGAAACGCTTTAGAAAATAGCTTTAATTGCTTCACTTCAAAACCTTCACCTCAAAACCTTCACCTCAAAGCCTTCACTTCAAAACCTTCACCTCAAAACCTTCACCTCAAAACCTTCAATTCAAAACCTTCACTTACCTGCAATCATTAAAAGTAGCAGCAATCGAAGCATTCTTTTCAAATATAATATCTAAATTTCTCATTAAAATATAAATTATTAAAAAAATGAGAGAAAAAACTGTCTTAAATACCCAAAAAAAGATCGTCTAGCTTTATTGTCTTTCACTTTGAAAATACAATCTCTGTACTTTAGTGCTCAAAATATTTAGTCAGCTTTTTTTCTATGTAAACTAATAAAGATTATGAAAGCTAGGAAAGTAAAAAGGATAATAAAATGACGTTAGCTATGTACTGAAAATAACAAGAATACTGTTTGGAGCTGGCTCTTGGCTGGGTTTGACTTGGCTTGGCTTAGCTTGGCTTGGCTTGGCTTGGCTTAGCTTAGCTTGGCTTGGCTTGGCTTAGCTTGGCTGGGCTTGGCTTGGCTTGGCTTGGCTTAGCTTGGCTTGGCTTAGCTTGGCTGGGCTTGGCTCAACCTTGAATTGGTTTAGTTTAGCTTAGCTTAGCTTGGCTTAGCTTGGCTTAGCTTAGCTTAGCTTAGCTTAGCTTGGCTTAGCTTGGCTTGGCTTAGCTTGGCTCGGCTTGGCTTAGCTTGGCTTAGTTTGTCTTGTCTTAGCTTTGCTTGGCCTTCAACTAAGCTGGTTTAGATTTAAATTGTAATACAAGTCCTGGTCGAAGTCCTTTACTAAAGTTTGATTCATTTTGACTCTAAGCGGCACTGACAAAACTCAAGATTTGACCTTAAACTAGCCTCTTTGGCAGTTGCTTCGATCATTGGCTACTAGATCTCAAATCTACTCAAACTAGATCGAAACTAAAACAAAAATCAAAGATAGCGAGGAAAAAAATTGAAGATTTATTAACAATGAACACATAAAAAAGAGAAATCAAATTCGAAAAAGCGAACTTGACACTTAAATACCGAACTCATTCCCCGCTATCGTCATTGTTGAGTTGAGTTCCCGCTATCGTCATTGTTGAGTTGCCAAGGTCGACTCGTCCTTCCATCCGACTCATCCTTTTCATCTATTTCAATTCAAAATTTGTGTCACCGAAAACATTTCCTGAATCATTCCATTTTCAAAATCAGAAAAACATTCCAACAAAACGCAAGCTCCGAAAAAAAAAAGCCACAAAAATATTTGCCTGTAACTTTTGCACTTTCGTGGCTTTGCCTCAATGTTTTGAGATCAAGAAAAGACCTTTAGTTCGGCTATTTTTCGTATTTTTTATCTCGATTTGCATTCGTTTGCAATATTCTATTTCAATTCTTTTAAAAACAAAGCAAGAGTTTAGAGAAACGGGCATAATCTTTTCTCGAAACGTTTAGCCATGTATTTTTGAGCTATACTTGTCAGAATGATCGCATTTCAGATTGATCGATCGATTGATCTGATTTCAGATTGAATTTGATCGAATGGTGTCAAGTTTTATTGAAATCACTGAGTTCTATCAAAAGTGCATGTTGAGATTTCAAATGTTTTGAAGTTTTTGAGCTAAGCCAAGAATCAGATCGGACTTGAAATGCATAGAAGCAGGCTAGATTCTAAGCTTGGCTAAAGCTTAGTTAAAGCTTGGTTAAAGCTTGGTTAAAGCCTGGTTAAAGCCTGGTTAAAGCTTGGTTAAAGCTTGGCTAAAGCTTGGCTAAAGCTTGGCTTAGGCTTAGGCTTAGGCTTAGGCTTAGGCTTAGGCTTAGGCTTAGGCTTAGAGTACGATAAGACGGTAGCCAAAACGGTAACTGGGGACGATAGCTTGGACACTTTTAAATAATCTACAAGCACGGTAGGCTGGACAGAAATTCCTAAGCCTGAGTCTGAGCCTAAGCCTAAGCCTAAGCCTAAGCCTAAGCCTGGCTAAGCTTAAGCTACCTTAAGCTAGCCTGTTTAAGGTTTTTCTTTTGATCTTTGATTTGGAATAAATGTTTATTCAAATATGAACTGTATATAGTTTTCGTTTTACAAGAAAAATGCAGACCCGTCAAGAAAAAAAAAAAAACGATTCTAAATCGAAGGAGAAATTTCGAAAAAGATGTAAAACTTGAAGAAACAAAAATTGAGCAAAAAAAAAAAAGGAAAATAGAGAGAAAGTTCTGTAAAAGACAAATCGCTTTGCGCTCGGATTTGATCTCGAACTTTTGTCGATTTTTCAGCTATTTAAAGGCCCATCACTTTGTCTAGAGATTTCCTAGAGTCACTAAAGTCTTTTGTAAACAAATAAAAATGTTTTTAAACAAATAGCTCGCATTGTAATGAACTGAACTCGATATTCGAACTTTTTAATGTTTTCGATTTCATTTTCGATTTCGATCTTCAAACTCTAGACTTAAATATTTGCTTGAAGAATCTATTGGATTGGTGAATCTATTGGACTGCGGGACTTTAGCCATGCCTAGGCCTATCTTACAGGCCCCGGGGGGCCGATTTGAACATCCCTGGATGGGTCTAGATCTAGTAGGTCAACTTTTATCTATTACTACAGTTTACGTTACTGTAAATCTATTGGGTTGGTCAATTGAAAACTGCCGGAGTTTGAACTAAAATTTATTGAACATAAAACCATGAATTCATTCCAAATAATTTCCATTATTATTGACGACTTCTGCCCATTTTATAGGCAATTTTCGGTTTCCTCTTTCTTCGTAGGATCTTGATTTTGAATTGAAAAACTTTCAAAGCCAATTTTTGACTGCCTCTTCCGAAATCGAAGTGTTCTCTCGCAAGCTTATTATTCATGGCGCGGAATAAATAGTAATCAAAAAAGGGGCGAGATCCGGACTGTATGCCAAGATAAGCCAGACCAGGAAAGCCAAGTCTATGCGCCAAAAGTTCGCAACTAAGGCTATTTATTTTAGAGCGAGTCAGTTTTGCAACAGGGGGGCGCGCGTTGTCGTGGATGAGAACGATCTTTGACTTGAAGGGCCTATTCTTCTTCAGGGATTCATTCACCTTTCCCAACTGTTCACTGTATTTGATTGCATTAAGGGTCGTGGTCGACTTCTGCCCATTTTATAGGCAATTTGCGGTTTCCTCTTTCTTCGTAGGATTTTCGTTTGTTTGTGAGACAAGTGTGAGACTCAAAAATGGAGGACTGGAGATCTCCAATGTCCCAGTTTGAGCACTTTCTTCAAAAGAAACCCACTTTGGTGTCATTCAAGAATTCAGTCATTCATTCAAATCAATAATTCAAGAAAGTCAAAGGAAAGCATCGCCTGATTTGCATGGAAATTACAAAAATATTGTTTGTTTAAAGAATTGTTTAAGGAATTGTTTAAGGAATTGTTTGAAAGACTTACTTCAAGAATTGTTTAAAGAATTGCTTAAAGAATTGCTTAAAGAATTGTTTAAGGAATTGTTTAAAGACTTACTTAAAGACTTACTTAAAGAATTCCTTCAAGAATTCCTTAAAGAATTGTTTAAAGAATTGTTTAAAGAATTACTTAAAGGATTCCTTAAAGAATTGCTTCAGAAATCCTTAAAGAATTCCTTAAAGAGTTCCTTAAAGAATCGAAGAGAATCAAAGCTAAATCAAGCCAAGCCAAGCCAAGCTCGATTTGCATACGAATAAGAAATCCTATCAATTTTTCTTTAATATTCTTTGAAATTGAAAAAGTTTAGAAAAATTTTGACAAAAAATAGTTTCTAGATAAAGTTTTGAGCCTTTCAAATACCCTGAAATTCAACAAGAATCGAAATTTTCAAATATGCAAATGCAAAATCTAAGTTGACCAGCTATTTCGTTGACAATCTGGATGGGATGGATCGACTTTGAAGCCCGGACATTTCAGATTCATCTCGACACAAGGATTAAACCCAATTGTGCAATACCTAAAAATTTCAAAAGTTTTTAATTTGAAAATTTCGAGGGTTTTAAATTCGTAGAATATTGTGTGACATCCAGGATCGGCATTGAAAAGTGAATTAGCTCACCAATCATGATAGAAAAATAGTAACATCGTGATGAAGAGCACGGCCAGATAACATAAAAGGGATAAAATCTCAAGGCGCCGAATTGCCAACTGCCACTGCGACGTGGCATCGTCTTTCGGTAAAGCGATGTTCATTTCGTTTCTGTAAATAAAAAGAGTCGATAAATAAGGATTTCAAGATTTCGTCAAAGAGGAAAGCTTACGAAACTTTCCTTTTGACCAAATTTTGACAAACAATCATTGAAAAGCCCTGGAAAGCCTTGGAAAGCTTTGGAAAGCTTTGGAAACCTTGGAAAGCTTTGGAAAGCCTTGGAAAGCCCTGGAAAGCCTTGGAAAGCTTTGGAAAGCTTTGGAAAGCCTTCTTATCTTATTGATCTTAAAGCTTTCCCAATTTCTCACCGTATATTCGCGACACTTTTCCCAATCTCCCCAATCGATTGAATTAAATCCTCTAACGTTTGCTCGAAATACTGATAAACAATCATATTATCGTATTGACCGATTGAGAGACGCCGTCGAATTTCGTGCCGTAAAGGAGTTGGTTGTTGTGATTCCTCCTGAAAACCGTTTTTCTGGATGTCACAGCACAAGATGGTAAAGGAAAATCCCAGATTTCTCAGAGATTTCCCCCCAAAATCGAGTTCTCCTCAATTCCTCCCCTTGCACTTACCATTTCTAATTGGTGACTGATTAATCGTTGATCCTGGGCGTCAGCCTCTTCATCGACATCTTTTTGTCGTCTCTTTGAGTCATGATGTTGTTGGGGATTGTTGCGGTGGTGGAGGATTTGGAGGAGAGAGTTCGCTACTCCTCGTGCCTTCTGTCTTACTCCAGATGCCAAATGACCATTCGGGAGTAGTGATGTCGTCTGAAATCAAGATTTTACTACAGTATTCATCAAAAACACTCACACTTTGCGGATCGGCATTTCGCATTGATTCGTATCGCTTTTGAGAGCTAAAGAAAAAAAGATTTGAGAAAAAAACGTGCTCAGACAGTACGAATACGTTTAAACCATGGAGCTGGTCTTTGTAGGTAAGGAAATTATCATCGCACGAAGGAACGGGGCGGGGTTGAACCCGCGATGTTCAGGGCGGGGTCGAACCCGCGATGTTGAGGGCGAGAGG